TCCTCCCAACCATAGACAGCCACTAATCTATTGTCTGTCCCTATGAATTTGCCAATTCTGGACATTTCATATAAATGAGATCGTAAGATATATGGCCTTTTGTGACTGGCTTATCTCATTCAGCCTCATATTTTCAGTGTTCATTCACATTGTAGCATGTGTCAGTACTAAATAGCCACTGCATGATTAGACTACAATTTATGGGTCCAGTCATCCATTGATGCACATTCAGATTGCTTTCACACGAGGGCTGGTTTTTGATGAGCTTGTAGTAGATTCCCACTTGTACTCCCTTGCTCAATTTAGAGCAGGGATTGTGTCCTCACTGGGGTGTTGAGCATTATTTTTATTGGTCATCTTGTTTGGCCATGAAGATTAAGCAGGTATTTGGGTTCGTTCTCCAGAATTTTCCCTAGAAGTGGTTGCAATGAGAGGAGGGCCTTGGCTCAGGAGCCTTCTCTGGAAAGACTGCACTAAGGGATAGGCCTTGGCCTTGGCCTGGGATAAGTAGGGTTGTTGACTTTGTCCCAAAGACTGAAGGTTTTGGGAAGGCCTTCCTGCCTTTCCCACTTTTCTTGGTCCTGAAGGAAAGGGAAGGGTGTTGCCCCAAACTGGCCCTGTAGTTGGTACCTAGCATTTTGGGCAGCTTTGAGTACGGCTCTTAAAATAGTGCCCTGCATCCCTGAACTACACAGTGAGTGTCTACATTATCACTCTTTAAAACCTCAATGGAGTTTGAAGATTGGTTACTTAAAATAGTGCCCTGCATCCCTGAACTACACAGTCAGTGTCTACATGAAGATTGGTTGACATCGGTGGTACCCAAGCAGTGTTCCCTGCCCTCATAACACTCTGAACCAGGCATCTGACCCACCTGGGAGGCAGAGTGCTTGGCAGTGAGCCAGCCATGATTTGCTGAGAACTTGCTATTCCCAGTGAGGAGGCATGAAGAGGTCATGGCACTGCTTCCCAAAGCTCTTGATTAGGACACCAGAGGCTTTTAAATTAGTCCTCTGGAAAACCTGCTGTCCATATCTGAAACAGCCTCTGTGTAGAAGTTTGATTGGTTATTGGTTAATTTTAATTAGAAACTTTTTCAAACATCCACTTGGTATACCCATCCAATTCAACAGTTATTAACGTTTTGCCACTTTTGCTCCAATTGAATTAAATTCCAGAACATTCTGTCATTTGACCCCTGTATATCCAGTGTGCATCTCTTAAGGAATATGGACATTTTCTGTATAACCACAATATTCTCATACTTAACAATGTTAACAATACCTTCAGTTGCTGCTTTCAGAGAGTGTTTGTTCGTGGTATCTACTGCCTTTGTCAGGGAAGAGAGAGTCGCCCCCGTGGTAGGGGTTATGCAGAAACCTCCAGGGAAGCGGTGCTTTGTACTGGGGAATGTGCTGTGCTGTGCTCCATCCTGCCTTTGGTGGGTGGATCCCTTGAACCCATACAGTCATGTTCTGTGGAATGAAACAGCCTTTTACCCAGAACGACTGAAGAGTTGCATCCTAGCCAGTGACTGCTAGGATATATTTTAGACAGGGATGACTCATAAAACTCAGGAGTTGCCATTTTTGGTTGACCAGTCCATTTCCCAAGAAGTAGCCGGCCACTTAGGAGGCATGAGGTCACACTCACCAGAAAGTCCAGGGCACCTTCGGGGCAGGGAGCTGGAGCAGCAGCTGTGGAATGGGGTGCTGAGCACTGGAACAGCACTGCTGCGTAGGAACTAGATAATCAAGCAGTTTACAAGACATGAGGCCAGGCAGCATCTCGGTTTCTGAAGGTACATCCCAGTGACAAGAAAAAAACAGGTGACCTGGGAAGCTAAGATTTGCCAAGTTTGGGGGTATTTTTTGTTGTTTGGTTGGTGCTTTGGTTTTGTTTTATGTTTGGAGCTGAGAACTCAAATAAGCCCAGCGCAGTAGCTGTGGCCTGCCCTTTCTCAATAGGCCTCTCATGCTAACTTTTGCGATGGCCTGTGTCCCTTGTTTTGTTATCCCTGCCTGGAGAGAGACTTGTCTGGGTCAGCTCAGCTCTCAGAGGTTCTGTCAAGATTGTGCATCCAGAGACGAGCCCTGTCCCCTTCTAAGTGACTAGTGTTCTCTAGCAGGATGCCTGCTGAGGACACTGCTCCTTTCTAAAGGTGCATGTACCTCAGCTTCTTCTTGACCCAGGGCCTCTCTGGGTCCACCAGGCCTCAGGCAGGAACACACCCATTTCTTGTCTTGAACAGCTCTGTTCCATCCCTCTCAGAGCCCCTTGGAATGCAGGCCAGGGGATGGCGGTTGATGCTGCCAGCAGTGTCACAGGAGGGGCCCCGCCTTGCAGACATCATGTGGGCAGTGTGCAGGCACTGGCTGAAAACAGAGAAAGGAAGAGAAAGCAGGTCTCTTCTCATTTCAGCTCTTAAGTCATGCTGTGCAGAAGGTCATGTGAAGGTAGCACAGTCCCCACCCCTTGGGTGAAGTCCGGTGTGTTCTAGAAATACAGAGCCTGAGGTAGCCCCAGCCATGCAGTTCCTGCAGTACTTCCTCCTCCTCTTGCCTCCCCACCCACCCCATATGTCTGCTTCAAGGTCACCAAGGTCACGGTGATGTGACTTGCGGACCTGACCTCTAAAGCCTCCACCCGAGATGATTCCCCTTAGGTGGGCCGGTGCCATGAAGGGGGCACAGAAGCAGACCTGTCATTACCCAGCTTGAGGGGCTCCTGCTCTCAGCCTGACTGCCCAGCAGCACTTGGTCCTGACAGGGGGAGGCAGCGGGGGAGGAGTGCCAGCCCATGGCCAGCCCTCAAAGGAGCTAAGCCAGGGTTGTGTCCAGGGCTCAGAGGCTGAACAGCTGCCCCCCTTGCCCTGTTGTCAAGCCTCAGGGTAGATTTGAGCTGCTGGCAGATGGCAAGTCAGAACATGGCCTTCCTGGGGACCCTCACAGTAATGCCCGAAGTCGTGGGAGAATCAGGCACAAGCAGGGGTCAGGGGAACAGGTGACTGTGAAGAATTGCCAAAGGCACTTCATTTGGGCTCGCTGAACAGTAAAGGCAAACTATCTGGTCCTTTGACTTTTGGACATCAACAGGACTCTTGTAGTGCCCAGTCACAGAACTATAGTTTCCAGAGTAAGTTTAAGCAAATAAAAACTACCCTTTAGGGCCCCCAACCACAACGTTTATTATTTAAAATTTCAAATGCATAGTAGAAAAATTTAATGTATGAACAATAAGTTCCTGTAATATATCTTACCTGCCACCTAGATTCAACAGTTAATAATATTTTGTCATATTTGCTTCCTAAGTAGCTGAACATTTTTTGGACCATTTAAAGTTAGTTTTAGACCTCTTGATGCTTCACTCCAAAATATTTCAGCATCCTAAGACTTTCCACGTAACCACTATACCCTTTCACATCTAAGATAGTTAATAATTTCATAATATCTGCTATCCCACCCATAATTAAATTTCCACAAAATGTTGTTTTGACTTATTTTTTCTGGTAGGAGTTTACACATCACATATTTGGTTGTAGGTCTCCTTGTCTCTTTTAGTCTGCTTTAATTTTTTTAACGATACTTACTCTTCGAAGAGACCAGGCTAGTCTTCTTATAGAAGGTCACCATTCTGTGTGTTTGACTGTTGAACTTATGCCTGTGTGCCGGATATTATCTATGGTTGTGAAGTTAGGTCTGGAGGCACATTTAGCTTCAGGCCCAGCATTTTAGGCAGGAACCTGAGGGCTTCATGGATTTCTCAAGCATGGCACTGGTCAGAGAGGCTAGCCTCCATCACTGAGGGAGTATGACTGTGGGATCTTGAGGTTGAAAGGTGAGGCTTTTCCTGGGTGATCATTAAGTCCTGGAAGTGAAGGTGCTTTGCCTCCATGCCCCACAACTGCTCCCCAACACCCTCCAGTGGAGAGTTAAAAGCCTTTGATGAATCTTGCTTGTCTAGGTTATTTCCATCAGTAGTTCCAAAGCGGTGACTTTCCAGTTCTATCATTTTTTCGTTTATTGGCTGTCGTTCTTCTATAGAAAGGATTTTTCCTCAGCCATCAAGGATAAATGGAACTGCACAGTTCCTCCTAAAAAAGATGGGGTAAATGCACTATCCTTTGCCTTTTGTTACCAGCTTTCAATATAAAGAAAAAAGGCTCCTATATTCCCCTTTGTCAGTCCAGCACTCGGCCTTGCTTCCTGCTTTCCTTTAACTGGAACAAGGGCAGCTGCTCCATCCGTAACCTGGACCGTATGTAGTTTCCTGATTCAAAATAGTCGTCGGCAACTCCTGACCCCTGATTTGAACTTCCGGTGTTTCATAAAGTCTCTTTTTTTCCTGCTCACAAGCCTTTATCTGCTGGATAGGAGAGAAATGAGC